AACTTTTATGTTTCCACTTTTTTTCCACCGCACTTAGATTGTCGCCATTTACAATTAGCATTAGGAGCGCTTTGTTCAGTTTCAAGTGCACACTTACCTGGGTGAGTGTATGAGTGTGCGAGTGTATATATTTGTGTATGCACATGTAATGGCGAGCGACGCGCACTTGAGCTTTTGTTGTTGTCGCCGACGGTACGGCACTCTTTTGTGACAAGTAACGCAGCCTTCCACCGTGCCGTTCAGCTTCAGCCCTCCTATTACCACAACCAAGTGCATACAGATCTCTGTTTGCATACACTTGAGTTTACAGTTTGTTAAACATTGTTGAAAAGTTGTTAATTTTTGTTGTTATTCGCTTGCAGGCATGTGCTTGTCACTTTTTTTCTAGTTTTCTTTTTAGCAAAGTTTTCTATTTGTGCAGTTTTGCACAACAAATTCAATTTGCATGCTCACGACAAAATTTAAACAAACACAAAATGTGCCACACCAGCATCTATAGTAAGTGACTAAAAGGCGACAAATACTTTAAATAAAATAAAGAACGAGCTACTTCATTAATACAAAATGTATATCTGAAATAAATTGAAGCCAACATTTAAATGCAGCTTTTCATATGCATTTTAATTTGTTCATTCGTTCAGATTTGCCTGTTGACTTGTTTTTGTATCTCAACCAAAATGGTAAAGCCTCTTAATAAATCGAAAAAAGATGTTTATATTGGAAATGAAACTTTGAACAAAATTTGTATGCTATTTATTAAGGTACAGCGAATCAGAAACGTTTGGTGTATCGAATGAGGTCAATGGTGGCTATGGATATTGATGACAAAACTATGAAAAGAATTTTATTTCGTAACTAAAGCGTAAGCGTCGATTATATATTTTCTTTCCCTTACTTGTTGCTTATATTTCGTTAATATTTCGATTGCATTCAAATATTTCATTGCATTCTGATTTATTATATATTATATTACATTATCTACTCATTACTCAAAGACTACTCCTTCCGTTTATTATAGTCAAAAACATCAATTTGAATTTAAGTTTCTTTTGCATTGAAATTTTAACTTTCTGACATTTATTAACAGATTTGATAGCGCATATTTTTTTTTATTATTTGTGCGGTTGCATTTACTGCAAACTGAAATTTTCCGTATCACCGCCCAGTGTCGCGCCCTTTTCAAATAGCAGTCATCATGCTATCGTTCCAAATATCAAGTGCAGCTCTTTGTCGTGTCAATGGCCGTTGATTGAGGGACACAGAAAAATCCAAATAAATAAATGACTTACGCTTCATTGGCCAGGTACGGCATCCCAAGTAAACAAATGACAAACAAAAAAATGACAACAACAAAATTGTATGACTATGAAAACAAACAACAACATAGAAAAGTGAAAATGTAACGACCGGCATTGAATAATGGCCGTAGCCGGAAGTGTGCGGTCGCCATTTTCAAGCACCTAAGCTCATGTTCATGCTCAAGTGAGATGTATGTTTGTGTGTGTGCGAATGTGTGAGCTTGTGTGCAGATTTGTGTATAGCAGCCCAGTGTTCAATGGCATTTGTAATTCTATTGCATTTGTCTATTGTTTTACTCAAACAGCCAACAATTCCCAGGGCTATTTGTTTGTGGGTTTGTCTCGTTCATGCGTTGGCTTGTTGCTTTTGGTTAGTTTTTGTTTGTATTTGTTATTTGGCTCTTCAGTTTGTCATTTGCTGTGGTTTTGTTCGATTAGTTTAGTTGGCAAAGTTATATTGCATACTTGTATTGTATAGGCTTAGTTGCATGCGGTATTTATTTTAAATTCAAAAATGCTTTTGACAATTTAATCCGTGCTTGACACTAGAACGCTTTTTACAATAATAATTATGTTCTCCATTGGTTCTTCGTATTATTTATGTATGTTAAATTTGGCATTTTTGCGTTTTGTTATCTTTATATTCCGATTATAAATTATTAATTATTAAAATCGGTGATCCCCATCATACAGCTGCTATTAAGATGATAAAGGCACCACTTAACCAACGTTCTGCTCGCCTAATTTATATAATTTCTTCCGATTTTATCAAAGCCCCATATAATTCAATAAATTTCTATTGGTCAAAAGCAAAGGCAAATGTTAAATTGAGTGTAGAGGGCTACAATATTAGTTATATATATTAGGTATTGTGCACATATAAGTTTTTTTACGAAAGACAGGACACACAATGTAGGGCATACACCACATATTTTTTATTAATACTGATTTGAGCTAGTGTATAAGAGTTTGTGTGAGCGCGTGCTGGCATGCCATGGGTTTGTTTATGTATGTATGTATGTGGTCCACAAAACATGCCACGCAAAAAGTGTAAAGGAAGCCATTTCTTTTTTATCATTATTTTGTGCTGCAAAAACGCTTTCAGATTTTCATTAAATGCAAAACACACACAACAGACCAACTACAACAGCCATAATGGAGGCATTTTTTAAAGCCAACCACCACTTATAAGCTCGCCATCTCAATCTATTTGTAGCGCCTTCATATTGTCGGTTTGTTCAGAAAGCCGGTCAACAACTCGCTCTGTGCGTGTCTGTGAGTGTCTGTCTGTGTGTGTGTGTGTGTGTATGTATGTTTTTGTCTGTTTGTGTGAGTGGGTGGCATCAAAATGATTACTTTTCATGTGGCAAATAACGCAACAGCAAAAGTAATAGCAACAGCAACAACAATAGGGTCGACAAGCAACAAGCAGCATTGCAAAAGAAGGCCCAAAAAGAAAAGAGAACACATATCGCACGCGGATGGTGGCATGCCACATGTGTCTGCCAACTGCAATTTTGCTTACAACAAGCCGCTCGATGCCTGCCCACGGCCGTTAAGCAACAGCAATGGCGCCCAGTATAGTATGTTCGGGCATTGGACCTCAAATGACAAAAGCAATTTTACACATGGGCGTGCAATTTGGTGGCAGTCCGAAAAAAGAAAATACACCAACACAAACGACATTGATAAATAATGAAATCAACCTTCCATGCAATGCCCGCACTTTGCCTCTCACTGCTCGTGTTGTAGTTCCCATTGTTGTTGCTATTATAGCCTGGTCCATTCGCGAATCGAACTTATTTGCTCGCAGTCGAATTATCGGACATTGAATGTTATGGTCATTGAAAGCAAATTTCGTCTGGCAGTAATTGCGTTTGCTGCTCGGCTCAACATGCAGGCATTATATTTGCACCTATGCTCAAAATCATGAATATACTAACTAACCCATAATAGTGGATATTAGTGCAAATAACAAGCTTTTTATGAAACAACTTCGTTTCATTTACATTCGAATGCGCGGTCCTCTGTCAAAATACTAGCAAAGGTCAGAGTGAGGATTAATTGTAAGGATTCACGAAATATTCAATATATATCTATCACTTTAAACAACTACAAAATATAAAGAAAAATATCACAAGTCCTTGAATTAATTATAAATATCAAACTGGTATTTGCTTAATACTACTATAAATGTTTTATTTTGGCACTATTCACTTTTCAAAATGGCACTTATAGGCTCAATAAATGTTTATAATCTACACTGATTTATAATCAACTTATGACCCTAGTTATGTCTCCGTATTTTTCACAAAATACTAGACAAATCGGAATCCAAAACCAATCTACGAATTAATCATTTTTTAAAGCAACTCTTCTTTCGGCTTCAGACTCCGCTGTAATGCCAGAAAACTCAACTATATTTATTGCAAAATAGGAATTGTATTCGCATAGAACTGATCCCCACCCTTGCTCTGGTATGAAACAATTTCTTGACCTGGGCCTGAACATATAAAAACATTTATTTCAATTGAAACAGGTAATGTAAAAGTGAAAAGTAGCAATTACAAACAAAATCCAAAGTACACTAATAGGCTAATAGGGACATTTTCGATCGTAATTATTTCCATTTCATTTCAAAATTACTATATTATATCACGGCAGTAGTTAGACTTTTAGTATTCAGTTGGAACAATTGTTTAGATGACATATAGTAAGTAAGCATGTCATCATAAATTGATGCCCAGTTGAAGAAAGCTACATTGGTGTATTTATAATTTTGTGCATAAGTGTATTTACCTGCATACTCGTATACCTGCGCACAGTTTCGAGTATGTATGTACGTATACAAATATAGGAGTTTGCACGATTTTGTGTGTGTGCTGACAGCAAAAACAAAATTGATTACATTTCAATTTGCAATAATTTCCAATTGAATGCTTTAAGGGCGGCTATGTCGGTGACAGATGTACGAGTATGTACATACGTGTGCATGAGTGTGCATGAGCGCCTCAAACTATGCAACAGTTTTACACACACGCTTGTGTGCGCGCACCATCATTTCCGTTTGCTAAATGATTGCAAGAGACATTCAACATGCACCATGTAACAAATTGCCATGCAACCATCACAAGCGCCCAGCAAATATAACTCTACGAGTACATACACATATGGAGGTAGGTGAGTGGGTGTTAGTGGATGGATAGCTGAAAAATTGTTCGCCGAACTATATTTGCTGGCAAGCTTATTGGATTGCACGCTGATTGATTGCTGCATTGCCCTGCACAGCTGTGCAACAAGTATGTACCTCTCTCTCCCCCCTCATCTATCTCGTGACACTCATCAAGTAAGCATCAGTTCAATTTAAATACATACGAGTATGTAGCTTACCATTAGCCTAGTCCAGTGAGCAGAAATACCAACAAAATTACCAGGTAAGCATAACAAACTTCACTTTGTATGCGTGCAGTGTACCGTCTGTCTACTTAATGTGTTTGTGCGTGTCTATGTGTGTTTGAGTGTGTGTGTGTGAGTGAGTTTATGTACGTGTACAACTCTATAGTATATGTATGTCCAGCTTTCAATTTTCCCAAAAACTTTCTCACCAAGCCCACACCGAAACTTATATGCCAGTCATGGACAACTAGCCATCAAGTTTTTCTTTATTTCAATATCGGCTAACTTTAACGTTCTGTCGTTTAGCATGTGACATGAATGTGCATGCACGCTGCAAGGAGAACGTGCCAAGCTTATGCGGTTGTGATCACACCGAGCGTCGTGGACGTATCTACCTAGAGATAAATGTCAAAGAGAATCTTCTCACTGTGCAGAGTAAGTATTATGAGCACGACAAACAATGCGGTTACTCCTGAACTTTTAAGCGCCAACAATTGAACTGCACTTCGACATGGTCAGTTAGAAAGTTAGCCTGGCTTAAGTATATTATGGGCGCTCTGAGGCAGTTGGGTAAAACTTTTGCTGACATGCCGCTATGCAAAAGATATACAAATGTAAGCCACTTAAGTTTTAACCAATTACGGCACGAAGAACTTTTTGTAAGCCGCTGGGAACTTTGTTTTGTAAAATATGTGGGAAAAAATATTATGTTAAAAAAGTTTGAGGCAACAGCTACGCGCTTTAAATGTTTAAGTTTCTGCCTTCCTCTAACTACTTACGTTTCTTGTGTAATTTCTTGAATCGCTTACAATTGAAGGTATAAGAAGGAGCCTTCTAGTGGCACATTTATATTTAATCGCATATATATTATTAATCCTTTAATGGTGTGATATTCTGAATATAACCAAGCAATATTCGGTTAAAAGAGAATATATGATATATTCGTTTTGAAACGTATTTTTCATACGATTTTTTTGAAAACCACTTAATTAATTGGACCTTGTTATGCAAATGTTTCTAGAACTTATAGTAAATGTTGTCTTGACTCCCGTTTGCATATTTTCTGAAAGCAAAGAAGAAATTTTGTTGGGCGTTTTAGCGATATGTTTACATTCTATTATGCATGGTTGCAGTTAAGGAGGGTCGGAATCTCATACCAATGGATCCAAATGGTCTAAGCGATCCGTACGTGAAAGTTAAACTCATACCGGATGACAAGGATCAGTCGAAGAAGAAAACGCGCACCATTAAGGCATGCTTGAATCCCATTTGGAATGAGACCATAACTTAGTAAGTTGAACAAACCAACGACCAAACAACAAGAACATGTTAATTACACCTGTCGTACAGTGATCTCAAGCCGGAGGATAAAGATCGCCGCATACTCATCGAGGTATGGGACTGGGATCGCACCTCGCGCAATGATTTCATGGGCGCTCTTTCCTTTGGGATATCAGAGATTATCAAGAATCCCACCAACGGTTGGTTTAAGTTGCTCACACAAGATGAGGGCGAATACTATAATGTTCCATGTGCGGACGCGCAGCAAGATTTGCTTAAGCTAAAGAGCCAAATGCGAACAAATACAGTGAGTAACCGCAATCGATGATCCTAATCGATTGACTTTACATTCATCTCAATGCTCGTTTACTGCAGAAATCCTCACAAAAGAAGCCGCTTGTTATGCGTAGCGATACAAACTCACAATCGCAATCGAAAAAGGACTTGATACGTGCCACAGATTTTAATTTTATCAAAGTGCTTGGCAAGGGGTCTTTCGGCAAGGTAATATTTGTGCATTTGTGTGTATTCTTTAAATTGTGAACCCATATCTTGGTCGCCCACATTACAGGTTTTGTTGGCTGAGCGCAAGGGCAGCGAGGAATTATATGCCATTAAGATACTCAAGAAGGATGTGATTATACAGGATGATGACGTCGAGTGCACGATGATTGAAAAACGTGTCCTGGCGCTGGCCGAGAAGCCGCCGTTTTTAGTTCAGCTGCACTCATGCTTTCAGACAATGGTGCGTATACTCGATAAACCAAAAAATGTTACACTTATCGACAATCCGTAAAACTAAGCGATAGCATTATTTAAAAGCATGTACATACATACAGTGAACTGAAATAGCTCGATTTAAGAATATGTATATAATTGATTTCAATTTAATTCTTTTTAATTGCTATTAATTTACTAAGAGTATATTAAGCGAATTAAACAATTTCACCATAAATATGCAAAGCTGGCTTGGATCAGAGTATTCAAAGTATTTAATTATAATTTTGCAGGACCGCTTGTTCTTTGTCATGGAATATGTGAATGGCGGAGACTTGATGTTTCAAATTCAACAGTTTGGGAAATTCAAGGAGCCTGTCGCTGTGTAAGTTTAGCACACAAGAGAACTTTAATTGCTCACTTAGTTTGCCCTTCCCACTCAACTGCCCACTTACCCACTGTCACACCCACAGTTTTTATGCTGCCGAAATTGCTGCTGGGCTGTTCTTTTTGCATAGCAAGGGCATTCTGTACCGAGACCTCAAGCTGGACAATGTGCTGCTGGATGCCGACGGACATGTGAAGATTGCCGACTTTGGCATGTGCAAGGAAAACATTGTGGGGGATAAGACGACAAAAACATTTTGCGGCACACCGGACTACATCGCGCCGGAGGTGTGTGTGAACAATGTCTTTGAAGTTGCACCCCTAAGCCATTTTCATGCCCATTCCACAGATAATATTGTACCAGCCATATGGCAAGAGCGTGGACTGGTGGGCCTATGGTGTGCTACTATATGAAATGCTGGTGGGCCAGCCACCCTTCGATGGCGAGGATGAGGAGGAGCTGTTTGCCGCTATTACCGATCATAATGTATCCTATCCGAAGAGTCTTAGCAAGGAGGCCAAGGAAGCATGCAAGGGCGTGAGTGGAACATCCCGAGCACTAATATTCTCTGCCAAAATTTAATTCCTGCCTCTTCTTTCAGTTTCTGACCAAACAGCCCAGCAAGCGCTTGGGCTGTGGCGCCTCCGGTGAAGAGGATGTACGTCTGCATCCATTTTTCCGCCGCATCGATTGGGTGAAAATCGAGAATCGCGAAGTGCAGCCACCGTTCAAGCCGAAAATCGTAAGTAAACATGTCAGGCTAATTGGCAGTCCATTTATATGCACAAATGTTCGCTGATTGAGTCGCTTGTGCATTTTCAGAAACATCGCAAGGATGTGTCCAATTTCGATAAGCAATTCACATCAGAGAAAACAGACTTGACGCCCACGGATAAAGTATTTATGATGAATTTGGATCAAACGGAATTTGTTGGCTTCTCTTACATGAATACGGACTACGTTTTCAGCACATAAGCGACAGAAGTGACGGTTGAGGGACTAAAAGAAGTTGCAACAGCACCAAAATTCATTGAGTTGTGTCATCAGTTGATATTAAATGTTAATATTTTGTTAAATATATATTTCTCAATGCTTTATGCAATGCAAAAGACATTTGTTAGCATAATATTAGACAATTTCTTTGAGAGCAATAATTTTGTTATGTCTGTATGCTCTGTGTAAACATACAAATACACAGACAAAAGTAATTTATTATTGTTATATTTTATTTATATACCTATGTCTAATGTTATTTACCGACGTTTATATAATAATTAAGTTTAAAATAGTTTTATTTATATTGTAACAATGATCCAACCAACTATGAGCCAAAAAATATTCAATAAAAAACAATTTATTTTAATAATAATATTACTTAACATCTGCTTTTCTCTACAATTTTCCGTGTATATAACCCAGACTAAATAAAATCTACGTTTTCCTGCGTTTCTATCCAACTAAGCATTCCAAGCTCCTACACAATACCCACTATATCTTATGTCCTACGTTTTATTATCTCTCGTTTTTATAATTTTTGTGATCTGATTCGTTATCTACTTTATAAGAAACTCTTTAAAATTCCCATAGCGAATTTCTAGCAGAAATTAAAGTACTCAAAACAAATTGCAATAAAACAAATAAAACAAAACAGTGCATATTTACATTTTAACAAGAATCTTAATGTTAGAAAATACAATAAAGTAAATATGAAATAAAAAAAAAATATTTTACTTTTAAATTGGAAATACCAGTTTTAACCCCCAGATCTCACACAGCCCTAGCAACAACAATAACCAATTCGATATCTATTCACCAGTTTTTTCGAGTATACATTAAAGTATGAATCGATTGGAAAAAATTTAAATATATATATATATATATATATACACAAACATATATATATGAATAAAGTACACTATGACATTGGGAAAAATAAAACTGAGCAGAACATGCCTAAAAAAGAGGTATTTTGTTATTGAAGCCAATTGTTTGAAAGTTAAAACATTGCTCGATTATAATGTTGGCCCCTGCATTATAAGAAATCGAAATATGTGTTTAACTAAAATACACTACAACAACTGAAATGCTATATAACTTGGCATTATTAAGTCACAGACGAAATGAAAATTGTACTAAAACTTTTAATACATGTACTATACACTCACAATATCTATTATAGATGGTAACTTTTTGTTACTCTGTCAACAAATTTGAAAACATGGCATAAAGAATATCCGCATTTCATTTAACTGATTCATATAGTATGTAGATCTTTGTGTGTGGAAGACAACTGAACAGCCGTTTTAAATATGATATAATTTATATTGGCATTTTTATATATATGTATAAAAACTTTGCATATATGTAAAAGGCATAGAGTCTCAATGTACCATAACTAAAATAACAAAACAAAAATTGCATAGCAATAAGTTTAAGCTAACAAAAGTAAGTAACACTCACTAGTAGTTTGGACTACCAAGTACGCTGGGGCAACGCAATTGCCGTTAACTTTATAAGACCTCGTCTCGAGGTATTACTTTTCAAAGACCATTTATGCAAATAGACGTATTCTCATATTGACTTTAGGTTAATATCGTAGTACCTAATATAATTAGCGGCTATTTATACTGATCAACTTTGGGAAAAGACAATCTACTATAAGGTATATTATAAATTTATATATCATATTATTTTCTTTTATCATTATCAATACTTTTAAGTGTGCCATTCAGTTTTTATTGTAACGCCACCTGAGCTAAGCTTTTGTGCCTCTTGTAGCTATCCTTTCCTGAAAAAACAGCAAACTACAGTTACAGTAACTAAAACTAACTACCGAATAAAAACATATTTATAAACATATTGTCTAAATGGTTAAGTAGCCAAGCTATGAATGTGCATTGGCGAGTGCACAAAAACAAAAAAACAATTTATTAACAAGAATAATGCATAAAGAAAACAAAAACAAACATTTATTCAACTAACGTTTAAATTATTATAAAGTTTGCGTAATTAAAACTATGTTGCATTGAAGAATATAAATGTATAACTCCGAATTTGATGCATTTAGATACAAAGAAAAAATACACTTAACAATTATTTAGTATAATGCATACATACTTATACAAACTTATGTTTATATATGTATGCACATCACAAATTTAGTATATTATAATCATCGCTAATATATAGCATGTATTCAAAAAAAAATGCAGTTGAAAGGATTGTAAGAATTATATGCGAAAATATCTTAATATATACTCGTAATATCTTCAAATATCAACAAATACATATTAAGTGTAATTGGATTTTATGATGTATTTCGAATTATGAAGTTGAAATGTACTTAGCAACAAAGAATGAAAATTTGCTCATATTATATTAAATAAATTATACAACCTACTACAACACATACATACATACATATGTATATATATATATGTATTTGTAATGAAATATACGAACTCAACATGATTGATTACTTTAAATAATTTTATGGAAAACACAACAAGATTTCTAAGTCTGTTAATATATTGAGAATATTTATGAATTACATTTTAGAAAAATGCATTCAACTATTGAACTGTGCAAAAACTTATATGTACTATGTGTGTTTAAACAAACATACAATGATAATTGATAAACTTTTATTTATAGAATAAATTTATTGAAACTAATATAATTGTTTTTTTAACATTTTTAATCTAACCATTTATTTAAAAACAAATTAGGTAAGCAAATCATTAACAAACTCTTATGGAACAATTCAAATCAATCTCAATGTTTTCCGTCATCTTAAAACATTCACTTATTTAATTGACAATGTATATTTTAGAACAAAGTAAAAATTGACTATGAAATGGTAGAAATCAAAAATATATTAATTAATAAAAATCACTTTATGAACATAAAGAATAATGAGGACCTATTTTCTGAGCTGTAATTGAACTTTACAAAAGCCACAGAAGCTTGACTTATAAGACCATTCAACTAACATTTCGTGTTTAATTAACTAAGTTCTATCATAAAAGAAACAAGTATATCGTAAAATCAATGTACTCATAATTAAATGGATCTACAAAAAGAACAAATAAATCAAATAGCATACATACATGCTGCTTATAAACATGCATATATGTACCTATTATTAAATAAATCTACTTCAAAAAAAGTTCAAGGTGTTTTATGTGAAAATTTATGGAATGCGCGTCAGTAGGCGAACATCATTATGGGGTTCTGCTTCTCTCGGTTGCAAGAGGATAACGCCTGATTTATACAGGGTGTGTGCTCATGTTATCGTCGATGGCGTATAAATAAATATTAGATAATCTTATCACATAAATTTGGAGGCAATTAGAGATAGAAGTGCCAGTCGCATCACAATCTGCCCTGCGATACTGACAGATAGTCCGACCTTTCAGTCAACCCAGTCATTCGCCAGTTATCAGTCAATTCGCATCAGCAACCGAATATTTCAATTAGGAATTAAAAAATAAAATATAATAACATGGATACCAACATTTCCATGATGAACCTTACAACATTTGTGCCAGGAGACACGTGTGTTTACCAAAGCCATATGCCGTCCGTTTCTATCTTCATTATCTATGGCCTGATCGTACCTACGCTGGCCGCTTTCGGCCTATGCGCCAACTTTATCAACGCAGTTGTTTTCATGAGACCCAAAATGACGCCGTCAGCGTTCACATATTTGGCCGCGTTGTCCTGTCTAGACTGCGTCTCCTGCCTCCTCATCACCTTCACAGCTCTGTCCCGCAGCTACTTCTACAACAGTGCCAAGTGGATAACCTACGACTATCAGTGGCAGACACCTCTATTTAGCATTAGCACCGGTGCTGCTAATCTAATACTGGCCTGCCTTAGCTGCGACCGCTTCATCTACCTATCGCATTTACAGTCCGGCAATGGGGCCCCGCGCTTTTGTCGTCGCAAGGTAGCACGAAACATGGTTGGCGCTGTCCTGGTCATCTCCATTGCGGTCAACATGCCATATTTCTTTGTGTTTGTGGTGGACAAAACGGATGGCATATGCTATGTGACGAACTTTTATTATACCAAGTGCGTGAGTTTGCTATCTTCGAGATACTCGTAAAGTATATAGAATTTGTCAAAGAAGTGAGAGCGGCGAGTTTTATTTATGAATCAATAATGTTACTTCATCATAATAAGTCAAATGTGAAGAAAGTTAGAGCCATAGCCCGCCGCTGTTGTTGTTGCTGCTTTGGCTCAACTCTGTACTGCACACATACAGGGTGCGCCATCTTTTATGTCGGTATGTAGATATTGAATAACTTTTTCATTAGTGAACCGATTGACTTGATTAGACCAGTGTTGAAAACCTCAGATCAAGAAATTGTACAGAAACAAATTAAATAAAAATATCTCATACTTGAAAATCGGTTGCTTATTTTCAAGGATATTCAATATTTGCATACCGACATAAAAGATGGCGCACCCTATACACGTACACAGAGTCACGCATAGACACAAATTTTGATGTTAATGTATTCTATTGAAACTGTACGAAAAGTTTTTTATTTGATTAATTTTATAAAATTAATATAATTTGAGAAAAATAGAAATTTAGAAAATAATCGGAGTACGTACAGAGTATTTAAGAGTTCAGCCCACTTGACTGTAGCTTTCTCAGCCTAATTTAAAATAAAGTTACATACTGGTATCAAGCTCCAGGATCCTTACCAACCATGACACAGGAGTACTGTTCTGCCGTTTACCTACCTTTAGTATGCCCTTTCACCTTGTATTCCTGACTACTTGTATTCCTTTGTTTTAGAAAGCTACAAATTTTCGTGCACTCATTTAACAATTGTAAATTTTTTAGGTTCTATCAGGTGCACAATTGGTTCACGTTTACACTACTTGCTGTTCTCCCGGCCATTTTTATGATTATTGGAAATGCCGCCATTATCATTGCCTTCGGACGCTGGGCCAAGCAGGGCAAATTGTGCCAACAGACCTCAAATTTACGTACCACACGAAAACGATATCAGGTGAGATTGTATAGCCTTTATCCTCAGCTTCTTAACCCACTACTTCTTCCTGCAGCACCAAATGAAACTGACTGTTACGATTGTAATTGTTGTGACGCTTTACCTGATTGGCGAGCTGCCCGCTCACATGACATCTAGGAAGAGTGCAATGAATTTGCTCTTTGGTGGCGACAGGGAGAAAATCAATCAAGATGTAATGGAACATATGGAGGTTATCTGCATCACGCTCAATGCCCTGCAGCTAAGCATGAACATTGTCGTGTATGCGGTCATCAATCCATCCTTTATACCCGAATTCTTTTTGTGCCTTCGCGGTGCTTCGGATGCCGTTTTTCGTCTGTGTTGCCTGACGGCAGTGACGCGTGGCTGTAAAAAGTGCTGGAAAGAAAGGCGACATCCACTTGAGGAGCAGTGTGTGGTCAACAGCATCTCGGTGCAGCAGTTGCCGGCGGATGAAGCGCGGCAGTGCGGCTGCGAAAGCTGGAGCTCCAATTCGGCGTGCGAGATCGAAGCACATGCAAATTCAACGGTTGGTACTTTTGCTTTTATGCATTCGGAAGGCAAGTCAGAGCGATCCGACGATTTAAAGAAACCGCAAGTATTTGCTACAATGTCCAGTGCGTCTTTGCATCTGAGTGAAAGCAAGCCTGACGACGACTTACGTTTCAGTTCTCCATTTATTATAATATCTTAAACACCTTTAATACACATACATATACGTAAATAAATTTGATTACAATAAATTGAAAGATTGCATCATATAATACACCAGGTTTTCAATAGAATGCCAAATCCGAATAACGGTTCAGCAAGCGCCGCCATATTTTGTTAGTAAAAAGTCGCGCCTCCTCTTTATCATTTTTGAAAACCTTATAGTATGGATCACCGTTTTCCACTTTGTGTATAGTAAGGACGAGCTTCTCATTATTTGCTCCATCAGTCTCCAATTGATTGTTTCTTAGTTGACGAAGCAAGGGAGGGCCATCATATTCTACAATAATTGGATCCTCTGACTGAACAAACCGATGTCCAAACACGCATAGTAATATAACACAAGAGGCAAATTTAACAAGCATGTCAACTGACACATGCAACAATATATTTCAGACTAACCGCGAGTCACTTCAAACTCTTCGAGATTCATACCAGCGATCCGAAGAGACAACTGTGCAAACAAAGACATGAACCAAAAACTCGCAACTGTGTACACTTTTGCAGCATGTTTTTTAATTTATTGATTGCCATAATGTGGATATATTTGAGGAAAGCCAAATAATAGAATGTGAAGAATAACATTTTATTATGAATGTTAACAGTCTTAGTTATATTGGGGTGATGAATGTAAGCTCCTTTGAAGTCATTAAATTAAATATGTAACATAAATTAGAATAAAACTTTAAAAATGATCTTAAAATACCTTACTTATGTATAATACGTGTCCAGTTTGTTTTGTAACTATTTTTTTTTCTAAGTCTTGCCCTGCAGCTTTGATAGAAAGTCCATCAGAAATTGATGGCGTGAACGCAGTTCTGGCAAAGTGCGATGCCTGAGCTTTGTGCTAATACGTCTGATCAAATAATCTCGATCGCGCGCGCCCAGTTTCATTTCAATAAGTATAATCTTGTCCTCTTCGCGTGTCCACGCTGTCGAGGTCGACTGAGGGACAGTAGCGGGGGGCAATGATGGCGTGGAAGCGGAACCTGATGCGGCTGTGTTCACAGTTGCCTTTGTGGTGGTCACCGATGGTGAGTTCTGTTCGCCCTGCTGCGCACAGTTGGCCAACGTGGCTACAACATCCAACTTACAATCCTCATCGCTATCGAACTGTGTGGTAATAGCATGTTGCGGTGTGGAACCGCCTCTTACGACTAGTGGCTCCATCTCATCTTCCGAGAGAGGTGCATCCATTTTAATGGCTGGAAATGTTTGCTGCGACAGCGATACAATCGATGAGTCGTTATCCGATCCAGTTTCGGGCAAAAACTCTTGGTCTTCTTCTGTCTCCACTTCTATTTTGGCAATGCGTGACGATGCTCCTGACTGTAACTCCAAAGGTTGCTTGGCCGTTGCTATTATACTTATGTTTGCCTTGTTATCTAACTCTTCACGTGTGCTTTCCTGATCTATCAGTGTTTTTAGGCGCTTCGCACACTCAATAGCCGGGGAAGCGGGTGATGAAATTTGCGGTCGCTGATGCTGATGTTCCTGATCGTGTATTACCACCATAGGCGGCAGATTGCATCGTAGCCGCGAATTCGTTTGTCCCTGTGGTGAGCGCACCTTTTTCGTCGGAGATTTGCGCTTCTCCTGTTGCGGTGAGATTTGCGTGCTCGTAGCGCCATTAACACCATTGACTGGTGGCAGCGGACTTAGTCCAGACATGGGTGAATTATTCAGACCAGACTGTTTACGTGGCGACATATCTCCAAAGTTGATCGACGTCTTCTTGGCATTTGCATGATGTCCGGAGGCGTGCGAGTTGCCGACATTGGGTGTGCTCGTGGCGGTATTGCTGAAGCAGTTGTTGCCATAGTAGCCAGAGTTTAGACGCACTGCATGCGCACGCAGCATCATATCGTCACACATTTCAATCGATGAACAGCTGTTTTCTTCATCTCCTGTAGTGTCAATGACTAGAGCCCGGCTGGCATCATCCTCCTCAGAACGTTCATTGTCGTCACTGTCGACAGCCGCTGCTGCACTTATTTGCTTCTCACCCTGATGACGCACACTGTGCACACAATTCAAATTGCTGGCGCCCGCACCAGTGTCCTGTTCCTTTTGACTTTGATCGTTATAAATACTTGCAGCCATAAATGAGAGTTTGGCAGGTAGCAGTATTTTTGACCCATAAAATATACGTCCATTTATGTATCTTAATTGACAGCCCGGCGCTTGTTCCTGCGTGGGTGATTCGAGAAGTTCACTGATAGTCTCCACATATTCGCCAGTTGCATTGTTTTTGACCTCATGCAGATTGATTGTCTCTACAGAAGGCAGAAGTCTGTGGGGTAAAAAAAAATAGTTGGCATGGGATGGTTCAAAGTTTTGATGGTTTTCGTACCGTTCTGGTGGCTTGGCTTGCGGAAACTGCTGCATAAACCAGTCGCATAGAAACTGATTGCCTTTAAGCAAAGGCAAAATTTTGGACTCAACCTTTTTCATGCTTACACTAGGCAGCTCGGCCAATTCGCTGAGGCACGCATATATTTTGCGTATTTGCGCAGGTTGTTTGCAAAAATATATGTTTAGTTTATTGATGAAGTTTGTGGCATTTGTAATCATGAAGTACTCAAAGAATTTGCCTAATTCTGCAGCCTCAGCAGGTAACAGAAAGTTAAGGAAGACCTCGGCCAACTCTGGGTTATCAGGAAGCAATAACTTTTCTACTTTCTAAAGGAGTAAATAAGGCCAGTATTATAAAAGTGTTCATATTTGGGCATTTAGTATAGTAAACATACCAAATATAATTCAGCCACTTTATCATGCCTAGGATCGAATGACTGTAGTAGCTGATTGAACTTTTGGCAATCCTCGACACGATTGGCAGTTAGCAAAGCTTCCTCCACCTTTTCATAAAAGTTGTATGCAAAAGCTATGTGAGAAAATAATTAATTTTCTTTTCGCTCAGAATCAAATCAATAAGGCTTACTTGCATCCTTCCGATTATTTTCGTCTGCACTATCCGGTTGCAACATGTGTCGCAGCATTTCCTCCTGACGATTGGCCTTGCGGATTCGTGCGCCAGCAGCGAGAGACTCATCCTCGATGTTGTTACTACTGGTATTGTTGTTGTTCCCAACAATTCGTTGACGCTTTTGCTGTTGCTGGTGTTGTTGGGCAGCAGCATTACTGCTGCTTGGCGATGTAATTGTGACAGGATTTGACAATTTCGAGCGGCAAAACATGCTCAAGTCGACGAGTAGCCGTGTGTACAGTTCCAAAGCCAGAAAGTGTCTGTAATAAGGCTGTACGACTTTCGTGTGGGAGTAACGTTCGCGCTGGTTTTGCAGGTAGATGCCGTAAGAACGGATTAGCGAATAACAACGTTTCTGTAATTTATGACGCAGCCGTTGACGTAGCACGTGGAAGCGGGAACGTGTTGGCGGTGAAATAGGTGACGACAAAGATTGATCCGATGAAAACTTTGAAGGCGTTCCGCGGTTTTTAGCCTGACGCTTACGAGTATGTACCTTCGGTTTGAATATACTAAACCGTGCCTTTCGGGCACAACCTAAAGATTTCGTATCATTTGTCAATGTTGTTATTTCTTGTGACTGATATGTGGAAGCGGAGTTTTCGATTTCGTTTATTTGTAATGAGTTTGTAGCACTGTCAAATCTAAGATTAACACACGGCCCAGCATCGTCTGGAAGTGGTGGCGGAGGCGGCGGCAGAGCCAATAAATCACTTTCTTTGCTAGTGTGAAGCGATCGATTAATTGTGACTACATTGTCGTCGTAGGTACCATGCTGATAAGGCACAGAGATTCCAGCTCCACATAAGTTAGTTGCAAGTCCTCCTCCAAAAACATAATTTACGTTAATGGTGAGCGAAGTCGGTTGATGTTGATGTTTACAAGCCTCGAATTTTGAACTATTTTGAATGTTACTTTTGGATCTTGCTTTCTCAGTTGCTACCGTATTTTCTGTTGGTTCTGTAGCTTGGTCGTTTTTCTGTGCAAGTGCCAAGCCAGTGGCACTGCCATGGGGGGCGGCAGCTTCCCCAAAATTCTCGGGCAGTAATAAATCTTCCCCTATAGCTTCTCGAACAAATTCCAAGTACGACGCACTAGCTTGCGCAGAGGCTTTAGACAAATTCGGAGCTCGGCGACGGCGACGTTTGTTCCACGTTTTCTGCAATTAATTTGTATTTTCTATATTTAAACCATTTACAAAAATTTAACTGGCAATAGTTGAAAATTTTCCGCGAATTGTAAACAATAGTGATGACAGAAGCCTTGAGCGCGCATATCGATTGAGAGGTAGCCGATTTTGTATCGCAAGCAATCGATAGCTGCATATCTCTCTTTTTCTCACCACCATTCTGTGAAAGTGGAGGAAATTAAAATTGCTTTGATTTCACCAAAACTGTGCGTATTACAACCTTCACAAAGAAACAACTCAACTAATTTTCATCATATTTTGGCTAGAAGAACTCTAAAGGATTTTTCCTGCTAGCACCCGATACCCAAGTACAACACAGCTGCTCAAGTGTGCATCTTAAACTGTCCACGTCACACAACATTGCATTCCCGAAGCATCATGAGCAAAGTAACTTTTAAAATCACGCTAACTTCGGATCCTAAGCTGCCCTTCAAAGTACTTAGTGTTCCGGAGGCGACTCCATTCACGGCTGTGTTAAAATTCGCTTCAGAGGAGTTTAAAGTTCCTGCAGAGACAAGTGCCATTATTACAGATGACGGCATTGGCATCAGTCCACAGCAAACGGCAGGGAACGTATTCTTAAAACACGGCTCCGAACTACGTCTTATACCCAGAGACCGCGTGGGTATCTTATAAGCTCTATAGACTATTGACTATTTAGTATTTTGTTATAACTCAACGAGATTCCCATAATTAAACAAAGGCAACCCAAGCTCTTACCTCTATATAAAACTTCCAGCCACTATGCAACTCGTGGTAACGTTCACGCGGTGGTCGCACAATGCCGCCCTCGAATCCTAAGAGTATTTGTTGTACCGGCGGGGCCAGTCCATGGTCGAGGTAATATTTCACAGGATTATACTCTTTTCCGTCGCGCAGCTCTTTAATCTTCCAATATAGGCGTCTTCCCTGCTTTCCATGCACAGTGTCCTTGGCCATCCGATTACAGGCAATGCTTATAGGATCAACGCGTTTCCTTAGCGGCTTTTTTGAGCTGTTTATGACATTAAGATGTTTCTCTAGTCCCATGGCTATAAGCTGATACTCGGACGGTGCGTAAGCCGTAAACTGAACACTTCTTGGCTGAAAGGCCATGCGCGGCAAATATTGGGGATACATGAAAACCGTGCTGTCCAGCATGAGGTCCATAATCCGAGGCGCCAGACGAGGCACTTGACGAGTGCGACCATCACTGGGAAAAGAAACTGTTTCAGGTTATGATCCTACAAGTTATTTAGGTACACTCACGTTAATTGGATTTCCTTATTGATGAATTCCATCATTTTTTTGTTCTCCTTCTCAAACTCATCGCTACTTAAATCCCGCTCCCATTTATCAACCAATTTGACAGCAGCTTTTAAATTCCAACAATTAAAATTGCTATTTTGGTTTGCCTTCTCCTGTAACTCGTACAACATTTGCTTTGGTTGTTTAGCCATGTGATACAATTTGGGATTTGAATAAGTCTGCAGAAAAGTCTGCGTGAGCATTTGCGTGTGTATTCGTAGTTGCTGCTGCAGCAGCTCGTGCTGATGGTGTGTGAAGCCTTCAATATTATTTTGCGTGCCCTCTGGAGGTACAGGTTTCAAGTTTCGCAGACTTTCAAAGTAATCCGAATATTCGTTATAAATATGCTTACGCACCGAAATGTACTCCCAGGTGAAATTAGTGTCGTAGGGCGTAGAGTACCGGTCGTCGGCCTTTGGCGCATTATCGGGGCCTACCAATTTAGCTGGTTCGGGATCTGCTGGCTCCGCAGGCATAAGGAACTCTGGCTCTGCAGTCATGGAAGCCCCTTGTTCTGCAAGGGGTAGTTGCACCACATCTAGGCATTGATTACCGTGTTCATTGTGCGCGATGACTTTTGCCAACTGAAAGCAGTTGGGCTGACCCGGCAGCGGAACCGCAATAAGATCCGACGTCTGTGTTAATGCTGTTGTAGCTATGCCCACTACTTTGCATGTATTGTTCATGACGTTTGTATCCATGGAGTTATTTAGACCACATGACTCAAAAATGGTCATGGGAACCAAATTGGGACCATCTGTTGTACTTGGAGTGGACATGACATGCGGATGAAATGAATCCTGTCCCATGGGCGGAAAAACAGCTGTTGTATCGACGACATCACTTCTAACTACGGATGATTGAGTATCAAAATCTATTTGTCGGGTCACTTGCTCAACAGTTTGTGGTAAAGTTAGTGATGTTATGGAGTTCTGATTCTCGCTCAGAAACTTTTGCGGTGTCTCCAGTTCAATAGATTCTAATGATACACCTTCCTGGAGCAAGCCTTCAAAAAGCTCCGAGACCAAATCAGTCAGTTCCTTTTTGGAGATATTTACATCTCGAAGCTCCTCAGCATCCACGGGTATTTTTTCGGCTGCTACATATTCAGGATCATTAATAGGATCATCGTCGTCACCCAGAAAGCTGTTATCTATAATAGTAAAATAAGCTAATATGCGATACGTATAAAATGCCTAACTGTACTTACTCAACGGCTTGGAAAAATCATTGAGAAACTGCATCCACTCTTCATCGTTTGCTGTCATGTCATATTCTGGCACATCACATAGTTCCACATCTGGCGGCACAAACTCCGACTGCAAGTCCTCAATTGTTGTTTGCTCCAAACAGAGCTTAGATCGTGTGCGTGTGGCAATGCGTAAATCCTGTCCTGGTTCCTGGTTTTTGTCCAGTGGTACTTTGAAACATCCATCGGCACTAAATTTGATAGGTGAATCTTCTGCTTCTGTGGTTGCCAACGGAGTTTGCGGAGTACACGGGTTCGAATCAATTTCTGAAGCTGTCGTATTCGGATCCTCATCTGACTGCAAATTAAATAGAAGAATAAAGTATCTGTAAAAAAAAGGTGCCCAACCACAGACAAACTTACATGAAAATCATCCTCTTTAAATGTATACTCTTCGTCCTCTTCGTCAGAATGCAAGTCCTCACGTATTAACACTTCAATCCCGTTGGTTGCCGGCGATTCGCTCAAAGCCGGCAACGCTATACCTGGAGTACGGTTTAGTTCCCGTGCCTTGGCACGCGTCAGCTTTTCTCCTGATGGCGTGTCTGTTATGATGATGGCACCACGCTTCTCGGCCTCCCGCTTCTCCCGCGCCACCTCATCCTCAGCCTTGAGTGATACAAGTGCTAGTACATGATCGTTTCGGACCACTCTGCGCACCACCTTGTGCATGTCTTCATGACTAATGGAATTATCACGTGCTACCTTTCGCAAACGCCGATCTATCTGCTTCGCATCCTCAATATTACACTCGCCAAATTTCGACTCCCGACTCTTACTGCGGCGGTCCTGAGACTCTTTGTCCAATCGACGCCTTTTGCGTGGCCGTGATCCGGTAGTTGGCGTCGTTTCGGCACTGCTGCTACTAGTAGAAAGCGCAGCATTGAAACGCGTTGACGTGTTTCCTATGTCGGACTTCTTTGTGCTCCTTGGCATGTCCACAGCACATCGAAAATGACTAAATTAGGTTAATAATTTAATAAATCACAATGCGTTCCGATACTAAAACAGAAATGCGGACAGTGTGTACACAAAATACCGCCACATAAGGAATAACAATGATACTTCAAAAATATCGATATCTGTGTAGACATATCGATGATTACACATACGGAATTCAGTTGTAATTTTTCTATTAATATTTGTAAACAGTGGTAATTGCTTGCAAAAAGTCTTCCGCAGAACTACTTAAAGTGCTTAAGCAATATAAGAAGTTTTGAATTTTAAAAATTCCAGCACCATTCGAATAAAAAACGTCGATAGTACACAAAAATGGTTTGTGGTAAGCAATATTATCGATAATTGAGCTAAAAAAAATTTGTGTTTTTTTTTTTCATTCGGGTGCGGGTAGCCGGTAGTTTAATGTCAGTTTAACATAATCGTAGTTTTTATATGAACTCTGCTCCACACCGGTCATTTGTGTGCTCACGACGCTTGGAAGTAAGCAAGACCGGCTAAATTTACTGTTTTAACGTTAAGGTAAGTTTTATTAGCGTAAGCATCAATGATTCATCAATCTTTCATTCCTACAGGAGATGACACTTAAAGTTACTAAGCTGGCACTCACCAGCCGCGTTATTGTGCTGGTGGTCCAAATGCTCGCCAATTGGGCCATTACCGATCACAAGCCGGACGTGTTTCGGATGCCGCTTAGCTATAAATACGGACCCTTCCCGTGGCTTGACAAATTAATTTTGCGTTGTTTGGGCGGATTGCGACACTGGGATGGCGAATATTTCTTGCACATTGCTAACTATCTGTACTCGTACGAAAACACCCTAGCCTTCTATCCACTGTATCCTGTGGCAGTGCGTCATCTTGCGGAGGCCTGTCACATAATGATTCCCCTATCGCTGCAAACACTCACGTTAATAATGGCCGTTATACTAAATGTGATAGTGTTTTGCAAGGCCGCTAATCTGCTATACCAGCTGACCCATAAGCTCTTTAATGATTTCAACAAGAGCTGGAATGCAGCATTAATATACTGTTTCAATCCGGCGACTATTTTCTTCAGCGCGGCCTACTCAGAAACATTGTTCTCGTACGTGAGCTTTTACGTGATGCTGGAGTGTGTCAAGTCTAAGCAAGAATTTAGCTATCTACGTTTATGTGGCGGATTGACTGCATGCTTTGTCTGTCGTTCCAATGGTCTCCTGGCGTTGGGCTTTCCATTGTACTTCTTGGGGCGTCACTTCGTGCTTGGTCAGGAGCGGGACCGTATCAAGCAGATAGCCAAATTGCTTTTAACTATTCTGTTGGCTCTTATCATACTCCACGCGTATTACTTTTACATTTATCGTCTCTATTGCTTGCCCAATGTGCAGGTGCGCCATGCACAACAGGTTGTGGACTATGCCAATGAACGAAATTATTTACTATCTGGTCAGGGGCCGGCTCGTTCACCATGGTGCGAGTATACGCTGCCCTTTCCCTACACCTACGTCCAGTCGCACTACTGGGATGTGGGATTTTTGCGCTACTATGAATGGAAACAGTTGCCGAACTTTTTGCTTGCACTACCCATGCTGCTTTTCATGCACCTGCACTGCTACGAATACTTTTGGTGTTTGATTCGCCACGTCTATCCAAAATCCGAAAATTGGAAGAATTTCATTAGGATTCACAAGGCGTTACCATTTGTAATGCACGCCTTCCTTTTGACGCTCGTCTGCACGTTCTTTGTGCACATTCAGGTCTCAACGCGACTAATTGCTTCGGCTTCGCCTGTTTTCTATTGGTTTGCAGCGGATCATATGCCCAAAACTCTGGCAGAGCTGTCTATACGCTCGAAAGCTGGCATGTTGTTTATGTGGTGTGCCTCCTACGCCTTGATGGGCACCATTCTTTTTAGCAACAACTTTCCTTGGACTTGAGCTTTAATTAAGTGAAGACGCCAATGTTTACTGCTAGGATAATAGACTAATATAATTGTAAATATTTTTGTATACTTGCGTGTTGCACAAATCCTTAACTTCTAATGGAGTACAATTTGTTAAATTATGTTAGAATAAAAGCTTTAAGTTATCTTAAATTGATATCTTCCTTGTCGCGTGCGAAACGACATTTCTGTTTGGCTCCAACATTAGGCAATAAAACCGTTATTACTATTTTAAAAGGGCAGTGGACCACCCTGTGCTTCCTGCAGTCATTTTATATATGAATATAAATATTTAAATTTATTTACAAAAACGTGTTCCTATTAAGAATATTTCATTTTGATATTTTCCATAAATCATTACTACCTGCTAGAAAGTGTGAAATCTTTTAAATACGCACCTAATGGTCTAATTAAATTGAGGAACAGCCCAACGCTTGGTTTGAGTTTTTAATAAATGAACAGCTTCCAGCACTCTTTTCTGGCAGCACTGGCAAGATGTCAGCTGTTTTGCAACAAATGTTAGATGGGTCACACTCGTGTACTGACCACCTATAGTAAATAAAAAGCAAGAAAATAATATTCGGAAGTTTAATTCAACCTTATAACTATAGGTAAGTCAATGAATATTTCCGCACTCACCGCACAAAACTTGGAAAAAACAGCCTAATTGAAAAACGACTGCTAATGGGGCACATACTCAGGGCTGCTAGTATATTTCGAAAAAAAAAATGAACTTGCATTCAAATTCACTACTACTATGTGAATTAAACTGCTCAGCTAATCTCGATTTTATTAATTGTGGGTTTTTATTCACCAGCTGGTCTCCTGACCTTATTCTTTTGAATGTCTCGCTGACTGCTGCAATCCTATCACACCTGCCTGGCGTTAAAGTAAAAGAAGAGGTAAACAAATGGAGCAACACGGCACAAAAATGGAGGAGCTGTCGGGTGTTATGATTATTATCATAATTGGCGGCGGTGTTCTGACCTTCGTCTTACTCTTCATATTCGCCAAGCGCCAGATTATGCGCTTCACCTTGCGTGGTCGGCGTGGCCCCCATGTACCCGTTGGCAACGATGCCAAAAAAGCTCTGCGGAGGGAGATAGAGCGTCGTCTAGACTGCATCCAAAAAATAGCGTTGCAGCCAAAGTTACTGTGGCATGATCCCGACAAGTACATTGTGCAACCGGACCAAGAACTGCCACCATACTATCATCGTATGAAGGCTGTCGACGATGTGAAGTTGTTGGAGTCGGAGATAAGTCGTGCATACGGCAGCTCGCGACACGCCCATGAAAGCCTGCGAGCTTTTCTGCTCACCACACTGTCGGTAATGTTGAGTGGAGCCGAGCAACGCATTATTCATCAGTACTGTGATATGTATGAGCATGCCCGACACGATCCAAATGAGTTTGGCGCCGATGAGTATGAGGCCTACCATCATCTGCTCCTTAAACTGATGGAAGCGTAAGTACAAACAACACGATATTCGAATGGGCCACCAATAATTAATTTAATATCATGTTTTTGTGCAGTGCTAAGCAATTAAAGAATTGCAATTCAGGCAAACCATCACCAGCACGCACGCCAAGAAAGCAGACGAAACGACATTCCCTGCTCGATCCTACACGTCTTCGTCCACCCCCAGTCCATGAGACAGGAGGCATGCCAATGCAGCCGAGCAGCGAGCTAACTGCGGGCCAGCATGCGAAAGTCAATCTAACATTAGGATTGCAGGGTGACGAACTGGTGGCGGCTGAACTGGCAACGAATCCTTTGCATTTGCAAGCGCCAGCTGAACGGGATCTTATTATACGCAATCGCATACGAACCCCTACGTTGGACGACATTGTCGTTGAGGCTAATCAACAGCAACAACAAAGCGATGCTGTTACCAACGGGGTCGCAGATGCTACAGAAAATGAGATTAAAAGCATCTCATCGGTGCAATTTCAGCGGAACTCGAGCGTCGTTTAAAGCCAGCTTGCACCAAAATACCAAACAATGCAATTATCTTGCAAGTGTCATTAATTATTATTCTAATTGTACTAGTAGTTTAGCATTTACCAATATATTAGTGTGCTCGTATTTTATTTGTCCTTTTTGCATTTGTCCTTCTTGGCGGCCTCTGCGCACTTTTTCTTTTTGGCCGCTTCCTCGCACTTTTTCTTTAGAGCTGCCTCCTCGCATTTTTTCTTTTGCGCAGCCTCCTCACATTTCTTTCTTTGTGCTGCCTCCTCGCATTTCTTCTTTTGCGCAGCCTCCTCACATTTTCTCTTCTGCTCCTCTTCCTCGCACTTCTTTTTAAGTGCCGCCTCTTCCTTCTTCTTCTTGTCGCGCTCGGCACACTTGTCCGCGTTTTGTGCGTACTTCACCAAATCGAAGAGGCGGCAACAGTATCCCGTTTCATTGTCATACCAACTGATCAGCTTTACAAAATTGTCGTTGAGGGCTATACAAGCCTTGGCATCGAATACGGATCCATAGCGTGAACCATTCATATCAGAGGAGACCACCTGCTCATCCACATAGGCTAGTATTCCCTTAAACTCGTTGGTGGAGGCCTCCTTGATGGCATCCTTAATCTCATCCAGCTTGGCGCCGTCTCCCAGGCGACAAGTCAAATCCACCACAGAGACATTTGGCGTGGGAACGCGAAACGCCATGCCAGTCAGCTTGCCATTTAGATCAGGTATTACCTTGCCCACAGCCTTGGCGGCGCCTGTGGATGCAGGTATGATGTTGCACATGCCGCTACGCCCATCGCGCCACGCCTTGTTGCTCGGCCCGTCGATAATCTTTTGGGTGGCCGTTGCCGCATGCACGGTGGTCATCAGGCCCTCAATGATTTCAAAATTGTCATGCACAACCTTGGCCAGTGGCGCCAGACAATTGGTGGTGCAGGAAGCGTTCGAAATGACTTTCATGTCCGGCTTATATGCATCCAAATTGACGCCGCACACAAACATGGGAGCATCGGCGGAAGGGGCGGATATCACCACCTTCTTGGCACCCGCATCCAAATGCACCTTGGCCTTCTCCAAGGTGGTGAATCGACCGGTGCACTCGATTACCGTGTGAACACCCAGCTGACCCCACTTCAGCTTTTTGGGATCGGCTTCTTTGGTCAGCTTTATCTTCTTATCGCCTACAATCAGCGTATCACCCTCGAGTGAAATTTTTTGATTGAAGATACCATGTGTGCTATCGTGGCGCAACATATAGGCTACATACTTTGGCTCCATAGCCGGATCATTGATAGCCACTACCTTCGCATCGTCACGGAGCACAACGTTACGTAAGAAAACGCGACCAATGCGCCCAAATCCGTTCAATCCAATAGCCATGCTCTGATAGCACCGAGATTATTGCAGGACCGTGAATTTGTAATTTGAAAAATTATTGTAAATATATGTTGAAAATTTTGAACTGGGCTATTAAGATGTCTCAAAATATAAATAAAATGTATTGAATACTTAGCACTGATTAATATTTCATTGCCGACTTGCAAACCACTAAGCCACATCAAAGCATTACAAATGCGAATCCTCAACTCACACACACAACTGCTATCGCTTAACACACGTACTACATAAAAGGCTGTACAAAAGCAATATTAGCACATACTCTTAAAAACCTATACTTGTAAGTACGTGCCCTTATGACTGCTGCCGGCCTTCATGTTTCACTTACGCCGCGATTGTTGCGCGCCCGCCGACCATAATCGAAACGCGCCCGCAAATATGCAACAAATATTTTAGCACTCACTTGCAGTGCGTATAATTAACTCATTCTTCTTGGAAAAAAAAAACCAAGTTAAAAAGAGTCGAGCTAAGCGCTCGCACACGCACAGTTAAATCCAGTATACCCTGGATCAGTTATTTATTTACATCATGATCTGGTCATGCTGATCAATTTGAGGGGACTACGAAGCCTTCTTCTGGTTGCCCTTTATATAAAAAGTTGCCCTCATAAAAAGATTTATTGTGATCGGTCAGTTCTAAGGTTTGTAGCCATAAATGTACAAGTATACTCCGCCCAGCTGTTGTTGCTGTTTCTTTGCTTCAACTCTGTACTGGTGCTATTGCAACAAGCAATTGTCGTAATTTTATCTTATGTCCCTGTAGCATACACGTTCCAGTCTTCCTGGGAGCTTTCGCGCATCTCAAGAAAGTCAATACCATACTTAGTGCCATAACAAGAAGGCTCAGCTAAAGAGTAAAAATTTCAAACAAAAAATAACCGAGATGAAAAATGCTAGCGCCTGCCTGTAAGCTAAAATTCTCAACAGGCAGGCCAAGAACAGAAGAAAAATGCAGATAGCCAGGCAGCTGTCGCGGTTGCTTATGTAATTAAATTTATTAATTTTCCTTCTTGTTCTTTTTCGCTGCAAGCATCAGCCGTGGGCGTAAGCCAAAAGTTTCAAAAAAAAATCTGCACTTTTCCACGTCCAATTTATTGATGCTGGTCGAGACGCAATCTAAACGGACAGCTTGCGCCCAAGCGGCATTGTTTGCAGCATAGTTGCTGTTGTTGCTTTTGCCTTATTGGATATGTCCCTATATATGTATGTATATCCTAACGTATAAATCAATCTGCTGTGGTTACCTGCGATGCTTCCCCGAACTTCAAACCACTAACATTCAAATAATTTTGCTCACATACAGACCTAAACACACATCAATTCTTTGGTGGCCCAAACCAGCGGGTGGTGCGCACCACACACGAAAAAAGGTATAGCTAACTTTGTTATATCTTTTTAGAACAGTTGTACTTGTATATAGTACATAAAATAAAATACAACATACAACATTTTTTATTTTTAAAATAGGGAATTTATTCAGGACTCTTTTATATATAAAATAATCAATACCAATTGAAGGAAAATTGGTTAAAAGTGGTGGTTAAACTTCCTACACTATGTAAAACACATTTTCCTTTTCTTGCATTCTTTATTATATAATACAATATTTAATAATGATCTTTCTACGATTTACTTTGAGGTATGATAGGCGAAATCTGAATTAGTTCCCAGAGTAAAACCAAATATGAAAATGTTGTCGGCTGTACGCTTACACGCATAGCAATCCAGCCTCAATCACACACATGTACACACATACAGTGCATATAAATAGCATCAAAGCTTGGCCTTGCAGGCCCGCAGCCTAAAAATCAGCTGCGGCCATGCTTGAGGCCCCATTACTTACCTTTGTCTACAAGGCGCTTTGACGCCCCATGACAGTTTGTTGGTTGTTGGTTAACAGTAGGCAAAATAGTGGGTGGGGGAACTATAGGCGTCTACCACGATGCTATGCCATTTTTTTAATGTAACACAAAGTGCAAATTTCAATTCCGTTTTAAGTTTCGCATGCTCTACTGGAACCCGTACCCCTGGGGCATTACCCAAAAAGACTTTTTGCGTGTGCGTGTAGGTGTGCGTGTGTGTGTGTGTGTTCGTGTAGGTGTGTGTGCGAACTTGCACATTTATCTTGGCTGTTTGGAGCAACCCGTACGTTTTATTACAAAATGATTTAAATAGGAGTTTGCATGTGCCAGCTAAACCTACATACTAGTCTAGTTTTATGCATATGTCCTATTCACCAATTGCTTGGTACAAGCTGCGCAACTTTATTGTGCATATTTATGAGTGAGTTTTTATGACTTCAACATTTGGAGAGGAGAGTTAGCATTTATGTGTAAAGCATTTCAACAGTGGACAGGGATGACACAATATTATTCAATACAGAGTCAGGAAAAAATTTAATCAAATTTTGCAAAATATCTGTCTCATTAATAAAAAATCCTCATCTGCAGAAATGGTTTCTGAATTGAGCCTAAAATACTCTAAAGTACCAACTTACATAGAACAGTAGCAGCAAGCCGTTATCATGTATCCATTTAGTTTATATACATTTGTCTTATATACATTATTTGCTGCTGCAACATGCTTATACATTATTCCAAGCGTTTCGCAACAAGCAGTATTGGCATTACAGACAGTCGTGTGTATAAGCTTGTTGCGAAGCTTTTGATGCAAAAGCCAATATACATACTACAACTTGTTGCAACGCAATGAGTTCGCAATGCAACCATGTTCCAAAGCGTCCATCGTTTCGTTATTGAAAATTCAAAATATATTTTGGTTCTTTTTACAAATAATAACGTCATTTTTATTTAATTTATTTGGAAATTCTATAATGTACTATATAACCTGATAAAGAAAATGTGTAATTTTTCCATAATAAAATTATTTTTTAATTCATCATTTGCAACTACTTGTAAATTGAAAATCGATAGCTTATCAATAATAAATCGAATGAAATTATATAGAATAAAAGTCCATTTAATTCATAAATAAATAATTCATGAGAGTTTAATCATTTGGTTACCCGCATACTCTTACATTATTCGCCACGTGGTGAGTTTGGCTTTCCTGTCGGTTGCCCGCGAATGGCACGCAGCGCTCTCGGCACAGTCTGCAAGCGAAGTCGCGCAAGTCGTTGCATGTGCTGCACGTTGTAGCCTGTTGTTGAATGAGGCCATGCCACAACTGCGCCTTGATTACGAAATTTTTGCACGTAGTAGCTTAAAAAAAGAAGTCCTAAATCATCGGGGAGGACTTTTGTTTATTTTTAATTCATATTTTTACCATTTTTCAAGCATATTCAAATGAAGCATTCTGTCTGAAAGCTCATGCTAGAATATCATTACAACTACTGATATGGGGAGCGTCCAAGCAAATAGAAATTGAACTTGCTGTCTACCAATCTCTGTATCTGTGGCATTTTCATTTCACTTTTCTTTTTCAAAGGATTCGTTGAAAGAGCAAACTAACTTTGTTATTTTAATATATGGCAGATTCGAAAACATTGATATATTGCCAAAGTTTCAGAAAAGCAAACGAAAAGTGCCAAAGTTAACCAAAGTGGATTAAATCATAATTACGTAGTACATATGTATATTGCAATAAGAAAAAGTTGTACAATAAGATGGTAATGTGTGTGAGTGTAATGATAATAATAATAAGTAATATTTTCCTGTATCCTGTTATGAACAATATTAGAACAATACATAAGCTATATGGTACGTTATTTAGATAGTTGGTATAAATTTGATCGGCCAATAATTGTTCGCAATTTAAAGATTGAGAATCTTATTTCTGTTGCACTTTTTTTCTACACTTAAAATTAAGCACGTATTGTTAACAACTACAACAAATGATTGAATATCAAATTTAATAATTATAGATTAGTCTTTAATAAAAAGGTAATCCTGATAAAAAACAGTTCCAATGATAATTATGTTAAGATTTATTTATATTTTAGCTTCAAATAACTATTGGCCCCTTATTCTATTGAAACACATTATTATTTATTTCACTTTTATTTTTTAAATTCACTTTAAATATTACCATTTAAAACTGCGACGCAATCGAAAAACCAGTTGCCCGCGTACAAGATAAAAATGGTCGATTTGTTGGTATTTTGCACAAATTATTGTTGTCAATTCGGCATGTTTTATGCGACTCCAGGGGCTCTTTAGAATTTATTTACAAGCCACTTGTTGTTGTCGTCCTTTTTCGTGCATATGTTTCATAATGTGTTTTCTCATTTCCTTTTGCCGCTCATTGCTTTAACAGCTAATAGTGGCACTTTAAGAGCTAATAACATTAAAGCAATGACAATAAAATCTCGCTTAATGATGGGAAGGGGAGGAGGGTATAAGTAAGTATAGCTGCTGGCAAGGAACTTCATTTATGCGAAAATGCGTGTTATTTAAGCCGGGCAAGAACTGTGGCGGAAGCGAAAATTGTTTTTGGCAAGCAGTGACAGGAACAACAAGTACTCGTACAGACATGAATTGGCAGCGACTCGCAGTAGCCAACAACAATAACAACAATAACAACAACAACAACAGCAGCTTCCATAATTTCAGCAGCTGTCAAACCGACAAACAGTATATATATACATACATATATAAGCGCAGACAGTTGATGTTGTTTGGGAGGAACGATGTCAGGGCAATAATCGTATTGAACTGATAAATTTGTTATGAGCATAACATTGGCAGCGTTTGCCGTTGTTGCTCCTGCTGTTGCTCTTACTGTGCTCGCCCACCAAACTGAGGGAGTGAAATAATATGGCTGCGGGGTTGGTGGGATAGGGTAACGAGCAAAGGCTTATCATAGTTCTGGCTTATGGCAAATCGAATTCAGTGCTATAAGAGGAAATACGAACTGCAAATGATCATAAATGTGAATATGTGAGCTGCAAAGTACAAACACAATCGTAAAAGCAGAGCTTTATATTTCTCCTTAAGAGTGCAGAATCGACTTCAACTGCAGCTGCTATTCAGAAATATATGCGAGTACTAGTACGAGTACATGGCCGCACATGTAGTTGCCAAAAAAGCAGCAGCATGAAAAGCGCATTTTGTGAAGCC